TTTGGCAATGTATTGGACGATCGGCAATTTCGGATATCCTATTTTGTCCAACGAAGACAGTTGGTTCACAATTTCGGCAGCGAGGTCAACACTAATCGATCGTCTTCCAGGTGGGGCCTCCGAGGCCATCAAAAACATGTTGAAAACGTTCTTTGGGCTCCCTGTTGGGCCCGACCTGCGGCACGGCGTCACTATATGTATTGACGGTCGGCCCAGAGTTGTGTGGGGCTCTCTCAAAACCGTCATTCAAGATGAGAGGGCCCACAAGTTTTGTTTTCACATGAAAGGTGCAACCGCCCACAAATTATGTGGGCTTTGTCAGAACGCCGTGGTGTTCAACTCAACGCTCCTGCCAGATCCTACTGGGTGGTTTGTTCCGAGCGGTTGCACCGACATCACCAAGTTTAAGCTGCACACGGCGGAAACAGTGAGGGGGATCCAGAAGCGATTGCACGACGTCGCTTCACAGCCAGACAGCAAGGGCGAGGTAGAAGACCTCGAGGCGCTGTTCGGCTTCAACTACGAACCATCCTCTATCCTGATGGACGACCACCTGGCCATCGACGTGCCCAAGGTTTTCAGCTGGGACTGGATGCACGTTTACTTCGTAGGCGGCGTCTTCACGCACGAGCTGGAGGCGTGCCTGGACACCCTCGGTTCGTACGGCTTCGGCGCTTCAACGTTCGCCCAATACTTGAGCAAGTGGAAGTGGCCATCGGGATATGCCGATGGAAAGGGCGTTGTCCATGGGAAGCACAATTCTCTCGGCGGCAGCGCCGGTGAGCAAGTGTCTGTCGCACCCGTGCTGGAGAAATACTTGAGAGATGCAGTTGTACCATCTGGCTGTTGCCAGGGTGAGGTGGAATCGGCGCTTGCATTGTGTTACGTTGTCTTTCTGCTATCCACAGCTAACTCTGGCACGGTGTCTCCAGAAACTCTAGGTTGCGCAATTTCTCGGCATTTGGCATTGCACAAGGCATGCTACGGCACCGAGATCTGGAAGCAAAAAAATCACTGTTGTTTGCACTTGGCGCCCCAACTCCTGCGACAAGGGTCGCTGCAGAGTTGTTTTCTTCAAGAGCGCAAGCATAGAGTGCTGAAGCGCTACGCGAATGATCGTAGGAATACCAAGTCGTACGAGAGAGGCCTCCTCGAGGAGGTGACTGGCGTTCACCTCTATCACCTTCGCACCTCTCTCGTGAAAGGTGACCTCGTGGATCCAAGACCTGCGACGAAGCAGATCGCGTCTGCCCTTTCGGAGTGTGGATTCGCCTCCTGCCACGGCGCCGAGACAACACGCGTAGCTCGCTGCAGGGGCCGAGCCGTGTGTGTTGACGACGTCGTGGCGTATGAGTCCGACGACGGCATTGTGTTTGGGCGTTGCTTGTTTCACGCCAAGGTGGACGGGGCAGTCTGGAGCTGCGTGTCTCGCTGGCCCACTGCCGAGTCCACGGGGTCGTTGGCAAAATGCATCGTTCGGGACGACATGCCTGTTTTAATTAGTACTGCCTTGATCGTAGAGCCATGTATTTATTGGCCCTGCGCCGCTGGTGGGATATCCAGCGTACTGTTGCCAAGGAGGGTAAGGCCTGCAGGCTGAGAAGCCGTGGGCGCCATTCTTGCTTATGGGGCGGTGGGTGCAATGATAATGAGGGGCAGGGAGGATGAGGAGGAAGAGGAGGAGGAGGAGGAGGATCATAAGGAGGAAGAGGATGAGCAGGAGCAGGAGGAGGATGAGGATGATGAGGATGAGGAGGATAATGATAACGAAAACGATGCGACGATGACTCGACTCGAGGGGATCACGCCTGTCCTTTTGCACTACTCGGCGGAAGCTCGTCGATATCGAGCTCGTCGTCGAGCTCGTCGTCGAGGGACGACGAGTAGACACGCGTCGCACTTCTTGGATTTAGCTACTCAGAAAATGAATTGTCTCCTGATCTGACACCCTTGTAAACGTGAGCTTACTGTGAAGGGGGAATGCTCGGGGGTATCTGACGTGCCGCGAGAACGACGGGGGGGTCATCGCCCCCGTGCCCCCACCTTTCCATGCGGAGGGGGGGCCATGGAAGAACAATGAGGAATGATATAAGAAGAATGAAGATGAGGAGGACAAGGAGGAGAAGGAGAAGGAGGAGCAACAGCAGCAGCAGCAACAGCAGTAGCACGCGGAGGAGGAGGAGGGCGGAGGAGGAGAAGGAGGAGGAGAAGGAGGAGGAGGAGAGGACTGACAATGAGGAGGAGGAGGAGGAGGAGGAGACGGAGGAGGAGACGGAGGAGGAGGAGGCTCGAGGAGGAGGAGGAGGAGGAGGAGGATGAGGAGGAGGAGGAGGAGGGTGCTTCCCTTTGGTCGTCGTCGCTTGCCCTGCGAGAGAGGGAGAGAGAGAGAGAGAGAGAGAGAGAGAGACAGAGAGAGAGAGAGAGCTCCGCACGCGCCTCGCGCGTCTTCCGAGAAGTTCCAGGATTCGCAGGCCCCGACCCGCCTCCCGCCCAAGGAAGAGGATAGGCTCGAGAGGTTGTATTCGGGCAGCTCCCTGCAGGGAGGGCTTTCAACATGTTTTTTCCTGAGCTGCATCCCTTCACGTCTGCTTGCAATAATATATTGACTGGCTGCCGCTCCTCCCGTCTCCCCGCTCCTTCCGTGTGCAGATGTGTGCACATAGCGATAGCAAAGCATTACGTAGCAAAGCATATCATGGCATCACGTGGCGATGCATGGGTTCATATAAGCACGGCGTTGCATAGCGAAGCGTCACATTGCGTGGTAAACATGAAGCCGCTCAGCCGAGCAACCAAGATAGCAAGGATAGCGAAGTGTCTGCGAAACCATTTACATATTCGGCCAAATCCAACTTAGTAGTTGGATCTGCTATCCTCCATAACCTTAGGGGTAACTAGATATATCTCGCCTAAGTGGTTAGGAAGTAGCCCGCCGATTCAAGTACTGTCCCCGCCGCTGTTCCCACCACGGTCCCACTCTCCCCACTGCTCCCACTGTCCCCACCACTGTCCCCAGGGCCACCACGGTCCCCGGGGCCACCACTGTCCCACTGTCCCCACTACCCCCGCCGCTGTCCCACTGAGCTGTCCCACTGTTCCCACCACCGTCCCACTGTCCCCACCACTCTCCCAACTGTACCACAATCCCATTGTCCCACCACCGTCCTCACCACCGCCCTCACCAGTGTCCCCACCACCACCGTCCCCACCACTGTCCCACTGTCCCCACTGTCCCCACCACGGTCCCACTGTCCCCACTGTTCCCACCACTGTCCCCACCTTTCCCACCAGTGCTCCCACCACTGTCGCACTGTCCCCACTGTCCCCAGCACTGTCCCCACCACGATCCCGCTCTCCCCACTGTCCCCACCACTGTCCCACTGTAGTCCCCAGTGTCCCCACCACTCTCCCCACTGTTCCAACTGTCCCCACCGCTGTCCCTCTGTGCTGCCCCACTGTCCACACTGTCCCCACCACTGTCCCACTGTCCCCACTGTCCCCACCACTCTCCCCACTGTACAACTGTCCAACCACCGTCCTAACCACCGCCCTCACCACTGTCCCCACCACCTCCGCCCCCACCACTGTCCCACTGCTGTCCCCACCACTGTTCAACTGTCCCCATTGTCTCCGCCACTGTCCCACCAGTCCCCACAGCCCCCACCAGTCCCCACTGTCCCCGCCAGTGTCGCACTGCCCCCACTGTTCCCATCACTGTCCCCACCACGGTCCCATTCTTCCCACTACCCCCACTCCGAACCACCATTCCCACCACCGTCCCAACCACTGTCCCCACCAGTCCCCCATCCAGAGTGGGAGAGGAGGGGGAGTCGTTGCGGCGAGGGGGAAGGGGGGGGATTCGAACCGGTAGTGACCCCCCTTGTTTTCCCGTTTTCCAAGAGGAGGGGGGGGGGCTTCGAACCGGCAGTGACCTCCCCCTTTCATGATGGACGGGGGGTGAGGGGAAAGGGGGGTTGGACCCCCCAGTGACCCCCCCCGTTTTCGAGAGGGGGGGGGGGACGGGTTGATAACCCCAGTGACCCCCCTTATTTTCTGCCAGCAACGTTAGAACACGCTCTTTCAAACGTAAACGTGGGTGGGCTTGAGCATGCGCATCACACTCGTGAGTGGTCGCCATGCGCCAAAACCATATGAGCCCGTGCAGGCCCGCGTGCCCAGACGTCCTTGCAGGCAAGGGCAAAGAGACTAACTACGAGTACATTTGAAGTCCGAGTGGGAACGCGAACTTGCACACGCACCAGGAGGGATAGCTGTTTCAAGAGCACATCGCACGCATGCGGCTACATTCTGGTTGTAGCGCTCGCATGGCCAAACATGTACACACTACGATCCCGAAACCACGGTGCGATTATGCGAAAATCGTGCGAACATCCGTGCGCACATGACATGTGCATGGGATGCTCGATTGTCCAGGTATGTGGTGAGATGGGGGCGGATAGAACAACCGACCCCCCACCTGAACACCACCCCGTTTGAAACACGCACGAGGGCATCGATCGCAGCTATCCGAAATGAAAAGAGCAATGCACCCTTCTCAGATGCAAGCGTGAAATTGGGGCGACATGTTACATCCAGCCAAAAGGAACCTGAATATCCCGAGCTGCTGTGCCGGGCGCATTTGGGAAAGACCCAGCCTGGGCGCACAAACTTGGAGCGCCAGTGTCGTTGACGATCCTGGGAGTGGCTTCAACCCCAGGGAGCGTACTATGCTGCGCATGTGCCTGCGTATGCCTGTCTGTGACATCTTCCTGCACGCGGTCCTGCCATTGTAGTTCGTGGAGGGCGAAACGAATCGTTATTCCTGTAAGCGGTCCGTTATGCCCCGTGAAATGGGAGCACGAAGACTGAGCCATCGTTGCAGGACCCGCAGCCTGGTTTCGACTGCGGCAGTACGTCTCAGCGAAGTACCACATGCTGTATTGTTTTTGCCCCCGTCTCTGCACTTCGCCAGCTTCGTGGTAACATGCGGCGGCGCTGTCCTATCTGGATTGTTCTTCATCCAGTTGTAACAAGTGGAAGCAAGCCTCCAGGGAATCATGCGAATTAGGCAAGAAGAAGATGGGATGATGTGGAGCGGGAAAGAAGGAGCCAACTCTCATCATGGAGTCCGTGTGTATTTGCTCAAGGGAGGCTGAGATCCCCCCCCTCCGACTCCGCCTTATGCCAGACTGCTGTTGCTCTTGCTGCTCTTCCTCGTCTCTGGCAGCTCTCTAGTGTGTGGAGGAGGTGATTGGTAAGGACGCACATTGTTTCATTCCACTGGTCTAGAAACCCGTCGCACAAGACATGGTGTGCTGGGCAGCCAGCACAAGGATGATGGACAAGCGGAAAAGGAGAAACGAGCTGGTGGAGGAACGATCGGATAATAATGGAGGGGCCACAATGACGACGGCGGGGACGACGAGAAGGATAATCAATCTGACCAGAAGCAACGCCAAAGATGAGAAAGGGGAACGGTCGGGGAAGGGGTAGGTTCAGGAGCGGAAGGGCAATCAGGACATGAAGACAAGGGAAGAGAAAACGAATCGGACCGGGAACACGAGCGGACGTCAATTTGGCCAGGTCGACCAAGTCAGCGGGTCCCGCCCGCACGAGAACCAACGGTGGCGCAACTTCCATGTGGAAGCGCTGCTTAGGAACGCGGGAGAAGGCGGAGGAGAGGCGAGGCAGAGGGGCAGCCCGCCCCCTTCCTTCGACCCAGTCCTCCCTCAACTCGCCCTGGCGCCTCTGTGGAGCGGTCAGAGCTCCGCAGCCGCGTGTGCCCTGCTGGACCGCTCCCGGCCGGGGGCCGCCGGGCCTGTATCGCGTTTCGGTGTCCACGATCTTGCTCGTGTTGTGCAGGACGCTGCGGCGGGGGTGGTGCGCCGGCGGGAGCGAGGACGGTATGCAGGGAAAGCCCTCGTTGCAGAGCTGCCCTGCTGTGGGACCCCACTGCACGGAGGAAGAGAAGACAAACCAAAAACTGCCTGTAGGAAGTCCGAGGACTGCAGATTCCCGCCAGCACCAGACCCTTCCGAGCGCGCCAGGGACGGCCCTGAAGGCGCCGCCCAGACGTGCTGGGAGGGGTCTGGAACTAGCCGTCCGGTGACGCTCGAAGCTTATGTCTACGTGTCTTTCTGGGCTGCCGTTTGCCCTGCTGGTGCATCCTCGGCCTCCGTTCTCGAAGAGAGTATGGCACTGACCTGGGAAGGTACAATCTTCATGGCAGCGGCTTTCAGCCCTCGCCCCATCTAACGCAGAGGGTTGGCATGAGGTATGGGCTTCGGCTCCACAAGCACTGTCAAATAAACGAGACCCCCGAAGACCTGGAGCTTGAATGGACACCATGAGCAGAAGTCATCTCACACGGATGCGGTCAACGCTGTAAAACCCGAGGAAGCTAGCGTTCACATCCACTCCAGGGGGGGGGGCGTTGTTCACGTCTGCTGGCATCCACTGGCAAAGCCGCCCAAACTTGTCTTGGGCAGGCTCCCACCGAGTACGGATTCACGCTTCGATCCCTCAGCGAGGTCTCTCTGGAATCAATCGTGTGCAGGAGCTGACCTTCGCATAGGAACCTCGCACAAAGGGCCCCGCAGGTGTCCGCCAGTGGGCCACATCCTTAGAGTCAGGGCTGTGGCCGAAACCGAGTTGTTAGTGGCTGGGGCCGAATCTCTCCACAGGCAGAGGAGACGGGGGAGGGGGGGTGAAGGGCATAAAAGATGATTACGACGAGAAGGGGAAGGTTTGGGAGACCTGTGGTTCACCTCCCTGCGCATTCAAACACCATCTCAAGCCGCCAAGACTCGAGAGAGGCGCAACAAACTTGAGCAGCGACCGGACGGTGCTTGTTGTCTTCGGCGGGCGCCAAGGATCGTCGTAGCCACCACTCCGGTTCTTGACTCCGTTCAACCTGACACTCCCTGCGCTAGGTAGGCCGAGTTTGCGGGCTCTCCCTGCTTCTATCCAATGCACAGCCACATCGCTGCGATCCGACTCCACATTGAGGTCAGCCTCGTTCTCTCTATCCGCCCTTTCTCCTCCTCCCCATCCTGCTGTCTTCACCTCCTTCAACCCTCCCTTTACTGCGTCCAGCATCCCCATCCCGCTCTTCCCCTTCATCGTCGTTATCAGCCTTCTACTCTTCCGCGGGGTGGGGAGGGGAGGACTGGGGCGGCAGGGGCCGGAGGGGCGGGAGGAGGGAGCGGATTGGGGGAGGATGCGCGCGAGGAGGGAGGCGAGGGAGATGGGGAGAGGGGGAAGATGCCGAGGAGGGAGGGAGGGAGGAGGGGAGCGGGGAGGACGAAGGGGGGCTGATGGAGGGGAGGAGGACCGGGAGGATCGCCGGGAGGAGGGAGCCAGGAGAAGGAGGACTCCTCCACAGGCTCTTCTTCCTGCGGGCGTGCCTCCTGTCCTTCGGCGCGTCCCCGCCCCTGTGCTCCAACGGATGGGATACCCGCACCTCGGGAGGCAGTCGTCCTCCACTGGACACTGGGGACCAAAGGGACGAGGAAGGGCGACTTCCTCTGACGATTACTCGGCAACGAGGCTGGACGCCACGTCCCCCTTTGTAAGTTGACTGTGTGCTCACACGGATCGCACCCCACTGGGAGCTCCACCGACAGCCCCAGAGCCAAGGTTCGCATCCCGCCGCCCCGCCCATACTGGCACACCCCTTACCTGGATCGTGAGGTCGGGGCGTATTGGGTGCCTCGCGGGGGCGGGCGGCGTGTTTCGCAAGAGCCGCTTGAAGCTCTGCGATGGGTCGTGGGCCTCTGGAAGCCACACAGGGCACGCCGTGCAGGATGCACTTAGACGCGAGATGTCTCTTACACTTCTGGGGGCCGATTGGGAGGCCTCCCAGGGGCCTCCTGAAATCATTTCGGGAGCCTCTTACGGGGCCTCTTGGGGGTCCCCACGGGGAATCCGGGAGGCGTTTGCGGGGTCTCTCGGGAGACCCTGGGGGGGCCTCTTGGGAGCGTCCTGGAGGCTTCATGGAAGGTGCTAGGGGCATGTTGGGATCCGCACCCCGCACCCCCAAGATAGTGTTAGGTCGGGCATGTCCTCCTACAGGGAGACTGTGGATGAAACATCTAAAAATAGCCCAGAAATGCTAAAAACGAGTCAAAAATACTAAGAACATCGTCCCCGTACTATTTTTCCCCATTTTTGAATATTCCTCCTGTAGAGGGACACGCCCGACTTGAAGATGGTGCCCAACGACCCGTTGTGGCCCCCTCTTGCAACTATCTTGGGACTCCCTTGGGCCGTCCTGGGGCCCTCTTGGCCCGTGTCTGGGGCCTCCTAAACGGTCTTGGCGTCTCGTTGGGCGCCTTTTGGACCGTCTGAGAGGCTGTCAGAACTGGAAGAGCGAATTTGCTGAATATACATATATATATATATATATATATATACATATACATATACATATATATATATATATATATACACATGTACACATAAGACTGCATTGGCGCTTCGCGCTTGGCGCTTCGGTCCTTAAAGTTCGGCATGCAGGCGGGATGGCAGGAAGGTCAAGCCGGCAATTTAGCGATAACTCCTTCTTGCCTTGTCCGGCATCGTCGTTATCATAATGTTTTTCGTCATCCTTCCTCCATGCTTCTCTTCCTTCATTCTCGCCATACCCTGCGCATTCTCTCCATCCTCCTCAGTTCTTTTTTGCGGAGGCTCCTCCTTGGAGAGCCTCTGGGGGCCTCACAAAATTTTGTCAGGCTTTATCAAGGCCTTTTTGGAGGCCTCCTGGGCGTGTTCTGGGGTCCTCTGGTGGGGTCCGCGGGCCACAATGCCTCCAACCGCGGTCTCCCTGAATGACTGGGTCACGATTCGGAATGCTTCAAAGCGTGTCTTCGGGCCATCTTGGGCCGCCATGGGGCACTCTTAGGGCCATCTTGGACCCCTCTTGTGCCGTTTTGGGGCTGTCTTGGACTGTCTGGAAGCCCTTTCGGATAGTTGTGGGGCGATTTGGGAGCCACCCAGGCGGCTTCCGACGCCCAGAAGACCGCCGTCTTGGAGCGTCGGGAAGCAGAAAAGAAGATAACCCCAAAGTTCACCAAAAACCCATGTAGAATCACAGATTTTTGTCTCTTGGGTCCTTCTTGGGAGTGCTTCTGGAGGCCTCTTGGGACGTTTCGGAACGATCTTTGGGGGTATGACGGCTTCGTGGGCGTCGTCGTGGACCGTATTGGGGATCTCTGGGGTCGATTCGGGAGCGCGCCGGAACGCCTGGAACCCGTCTGGGGCCGTCTTCGGGTGCTGGGAAGGCTTGGCGAAACGCCCTGCGAGACCCGGGGGGCCGCTTCGAGGCCCGTCCGGAGGGTCCCAAAGCCCCAGATCCCAGGAGTCCGGTTTTTTTTTGAGGGGGGGTGACGGGTTTTCCCCCCGCCCGGGCTTATAAACATATAGGAAAAGGTGTGTGTGTGTATATATATATATATATATATATATATCCGCTTGGGAATGGACCCCTAGGGCCCCTGGGGGGGGCTCCTTGGAGGCCTTTCTGGGGATTTTGGGGGGCCGATTGGCGCGTATTGGGACGGTCTGGGGGGCATCTCTGGTGGCGCCAGAGCGCCCCAAACCCAATGTTGGACGGCCTTGGCCCAGGAAGCCTCTGCAAAGCCTCTCGAAGGCCTCTCCGCGCCTCTTTGGGTCGCTCGGGAGCTTCTGAGGGCTTCTTCGGAGCGTCCCTGGGGGCCTCCCAGAAGGTCTTCTGGGCATATTGGGAACCACCCCTCAAAATAGTGCCCCACGACCCCTCTTGGGGACGTATTGGGCCTCGCGTGGGGCCATCTTGGGACTATCTTTGCTTGTTTTGGGCGCCCCTGGGACCGTCTTGGGGCCCTCTGGGCCCGTCTTGGGGCCCTGTAGGGCCGTCTCGAAGCCTCGTTCGGCAGTTTAGGACGCCGCGAAATTCCTACAAAGCAAACATGCAACAACAAATGCATGTTCTCCATAAGGAATGCGGCGGCTTTGGCCTCCTGGAGCCCTGTTGGAGGCATTGTGGCCCTTGTTGACGCTACCTGGGGGCGTCTTGGAGCGCTATCGGGGCAAATTGGACGGCCTTGAGCGGGTCCTGGCGGCCTCGGGAGCCGTCTGGGAGCCCTCGGGGCCCCGCCCAGGAGTCCTCGTGGCCCCCATAGGTCGCCAGGGCCCCCCCATATCAACCTGGGGTCCAAGTCCGCCCCCGCCCTCTGGCATACTCCGAAATGTATGTCTGTCTGTCTGTCTGTCTGTCTGTCTGTCTGTCTGTCTGTCTGTCTGTCTGTCTGTCTGTCTGTCTGTCTGTCTGTCTGTCTGTCTGTCTGTATGTATGTATGTATGTATGTATGTATGTATGTATGTATGTATATATGTGTGCATATATGTAATTATGCATGGATGTATGTATATATGCATGTATGTATGTATGTATGTAAGTACGTATGTGTGTATGTATGTGTGTATATATGCGTAGATGTGTGTACGTATGTATGCATGCATGTATGCATGTATGCATGTATGTATGTAGATGTGCATGCATCATGCATGCATGCATGTGTGAATGTATGTATGTGTGTATGTGTGTATGTATATGTGTGTATGTGTGTATGTATGCATGTATGTAGGTATGGATACATGTGTGTATATATGTAGGTATGTATGTGTATGTATGTATGTATGTTTGTATGTATGTATGAACGTGTATACATATATATATGAATATATATATATATATATATGTGTGTGTGAATGTATGTATGTATGCATGCATGCATTAATGTGTGTACGGATGTATGCATGCGATTATGTATGTATGCATGGATGTATGTATGCGTATATGTATGATTATTTGTATGAATACATGCATGTACTATGTAGGTATGAACGAATAAATGAATGAATCTATGGATGAATGAATGAAAGGATGAATGAATTAATGAATTAATTGGCATGTATGTATGTGTTTATGTACACATGTATGGGTGTCCCGCCCTGTGTTCTCTCATTGATTGAATTGTGCGCCAAGTACTCATCACATGTGATGCCACCACCCTAATGTCCTTCTCACTCGGGGGTGGTCTAAGCTGAGTATATGTTGATACATCGAGATGCGCACATGCGTGTACACACACGTCTACGATATGTGTGTACAACAGAGATAAATACAGTCCCCCCTGCGTCCGCCTCCCCCCTCCTGCCCAGACGGCCGCCCTGGCGCACTTGCTGTGCGTGGAGAAAATCGCTGGGTCGTAAAGCCGCGTCATGCGCTGCGGCTCCGTCGGGGTCCGCGAAAGCCGCAGGCCGGCCCTGTCGGCATCCATCGGCCTGCGGAGGGGGGGCGCGCAGTGTTCGCCACTGGGGCGAACGTAAAACGGGAGGGAAGCAGGGAAGCGCGCAGGCGTCCCTGGCCGCGGGGCGGGAACGGCCCGACTGGCGGCTGGCGCAGTGAGGCCATGTAGCCTCAAAGGTGATGTTGCTCGCACTGCTCTTGGAGCTCGTGGGCGTCGAAAGGGCGTGGGAAGAGGCGGGGAGCCTAGGTTTTCGGTGTGTGTGTGTGTTGGCACGTTTTTGGCCTCTGGAGGCTCCTGGAGGGGACGGGCCAAGCACGACGCTGTGTGGATCCCCCGTCCAGGTGGTGGCGTTCGGCAGCAGAGGTGGACGCAGGGCCTCCCGTGCAGACGCGTCCCAGCGCGCTCCAGGCGCCCGTGCCTGAGGGCCCAATCGCTACTCACAAGTTTGCGAAGGACGCCATACTCGCTCAACGGCACCCTCGACGGCGGCTGTGAGCCTTGATCGGGCATCATGGGGCGCCACTTCTGGTGGAGGTCGTTCGCGAGCTGACCCGTCTCGATGTCACCCGTGGGCTGCGCGCAGCCTTCACCCAGAGGGCAGCTGCGACGACAGCCGCGTTATGCACCCAAAATGACAACACTGGGTGCTAGGGGACGTTGAGATGTCCACCTCCTCCAACAGTAGCAACTACTCATCATCCACATCCTCCTTATCTTTCGCCCCATCACCCTACAACTTATCTACCACTTTGCCTCTCCTCCTGGTCGTGCTTGCCATCCTCCTGCTCCGCATCTTTTCTCTCCCCCTCCCTTCACCTCCGCGTCATCCTCAGACCACTTCTACTCCGCATCTTCTATCTCACAAACCTCCTGATCGTCCATTCCCCCATGCATGTCAAGCTCCTCAGTCTGCTCGTCCTGCTCCTGCAACTCCTCCTCCTCCTCCTCCTCCTCCTCTTCTCCCGCCCTCCCTTCTCATCCACGTCACCCCTATCGTGCTCATCCGCCGTGCCATCCCCAACTTCGAAGTCTCATCCTGCTGTTTGTCCTTACCATCATCGTCACCGTCCCCTCCGCATCTTCTGTTCAACATCCTTCTTCTTCTAATTGGCACACCGTCGAATCCACCTCTTTCCAACCAACCTTATCTTCATCCGCACCGTATCCTCATCCTCGTCATCGACCTCTGAGTCCCTGGGCACACCGCCCCCCCTACGCACACACACACAAACACACAAACACACGCTTGCCCTCCTCTTCTCTATGCTACCTCCTCCGCATCCTCCTGCTCCATGCGCATCCTCCAGATCCTTCTCCCCCTCATCCTCCCGTCCTCTATCTCCTAGCTCCTTCTCCTCTATCAACCGCTTTGTCGTTCACCTTATCCTCATCCTCCCCTGCCTCCTCGTCCACCTCCCCCCTCCTCTCCAGACGAACGCATACGAGCCCTGGACAGCGCGGCATGGCGCAGAAGTCGCCAGCCAACGAGTCAAACTAGTCCCCACGTCCGTGTCCCATCTGGGGACGGTGGCGGGGGCGAGGTTCAAGGAGGAGGAGAGGAAGATGAGGATGTTCAAGGAGGAGAGGAAGAGGAAGAGCACGAGCAGGAGCGGGAGGTTCAAGGAGGAGGAAGAGGAGGAGGTTCAAGGAGGAGGAGGAGGAGGAGGAGGAGGAGGAGGAGGAGGAGGAGGAGAGGAGGAGAGGAAGAGGAGGAGGTTCAAGGAGGAGGAGGAGTGGAAGAGGAGGAGGTTCAAGGAGGAGGAGGAGGAGGAGGAGGAGGAGGAAGAGGAGGAGGAGGAGGAGAAGCAGCAGGCTCAAGAAGGAGGAGGAAGAGGAGGAGAGGAAGAGGAGGAGCACGAGCAGGAGCCGGGGCAGGAGCCGGGGGACGGCTTCAGATGAGGAGCCAGGAGCAGCAGGAAGAGGGGCAGGCAGCAACGGATCGACCACTCGCCCGGCCCCTCGGGCAGGCAAGCCTCGACGATCGGCTCGACCCCCTGCCCCCCCGCCGTGAGGGAGGGGCCCAGGCTGACGCCACGACGGGCAGCGATCGCCCGCTGCCGCTGCAGGCCAGCCGCAGGAAGACGTGCTCTCGCCGCTGCAGGACCCTGAGACAGGGCTGCGAAGCAATACAGCGGAGGCCAGTCCACAAGGAACCTTCCACAAGACACCCAACCCTGAGACCCCAGGACGTCCATTGATGTTTGGTGTGGGATCGTCACGGTGCCCCTAACAAAACCATCGAAACCCTAGAAACCCAGGGCACCCTGGAGGCAGGCAGGGTGTTTCTTGGCATACCAGCATCCGAGAGGCCAAGTTTCCCAGCGGACAGAAACCCGACTCAAACAGAGATAGCACCTCCCCCTCCCCTGAGTAAACCACGCAAGGCATTGTCTCAAATGTCTCCAGCTCTGAAAACGATCGCATCCCATCAACGCCAGCATGATCGAACACTCGTACACGGTGTACCAACTGCGCTTTTGCACGCAGCGAGGCTGATGGATGGTGCGGCATCGGGCGGAGAAACCTTCGTTTCGCGCAGGGCGCCTCGGAATCTGTCAGACATGACAAGAACTGCCACTCGAAGGCTTGGACTATATTCTCCGTCCAGTTTCCTCAATCCTGGTGGTTCCACTCCTCCCACCTGTCCTCCCCATGTTAGTTTCCTTATCCTTCTGACGTCCTCATCGTCCTCGTGATCTCCAGAAGTGGAAGCAGCAGCTCAGACAGTGCTCAAAGCATAGCAGAAACGTCGCAGGACTCTGGCGTGGGGTCCAGGAGGATGACGAGGGAGGATAGAAAACAGGAGGGAGAGTCGGAGGGGGAGGAGGAGGTAGAGAAGGAGGAGGAGGAGGAGGAGGAGGAGGAAGAAGAATGGGTATGATGAGGATGAGGTGACAGCGCATTAAGAAAAAAGCACAGCAGCCAGGTAGGATACCGTGAGCGCGGAGCAGACCACGACACGCCCTGCCACCTCGGACGATGAATATGAGCCTGCGCACCCCGCCACCGGATCGCAACCGCTCCGGCGGCGCGCAGCCAGGGGGGATGACCTTCTGGGTAAGGCCCCCCGCCTCTCAGGAGGCGTGGGGAGCATAGTTTTCAAAGGAGCGCACCCCCCCCCCCCAACCGAAATGCCCCCCTGCCTTCTGCGAAGGGCGCCCCCTATCTTGGGCGCCCGAGTTATCCGGGGTAACTCGGGTCCGGGGTAACTCGGGTTTGGATTCCCGAAAAAGGAACCCGAGTTAGCCCTGACCCGAGTTACCCTGATGATTTGGGGCTCTGGACGCCCGAGTTATCCGGGGTAACTCGGGCCCGGGGTAACTCGGGTTCGGATTCCCGAAAAACGAGCCCGAGTTAGCCCTGACCCGAGTTACCCCTGATGATTCGGGGCTCTGACTATCCCTGGCCCCATCTGCTCGCAGCCGACATCTCCACTGCACACATCGCCGGCTACTCTCCCTGAGCTCCGTGCCGGCACCGCCGCGGGAGCGGGCGGCCTGGAGCGCCAGCCGGCGCCGCGAAACCCTGCGGCTGCCGGCCCGAGGGGCTCGGGCTGCGCGGGGGCGCCAAAGGTGCACACAGTCGGCGCCGTAGAAGGAGATGTTCGGCCGTGCTCCAACGGTAAATCGCGCCCACGCTTCGGCCGAGTCCGGCTCAGGCAGTGTGCCCGATGAAGAACCGTTGGCCCAAATGCCCTTCCTCCCTGTCCCTCCACAATGCCTCACACCCTCTGCTCCTCACCCATCCTATTCTTCACTTCCTTTCTGCTCTCTCCCTCCTCCCCCTTTTCCTCCCCCTCCTCCTCCTCCACCTCCCTCCCGCTTCTCTTCCCTCCCGTCCCGTCCCTCTCCCATCCCACCTCCCCCTCACAGTCTCCCTTTCTCTCCCACTTCCCTCCTTCATGTCTCGCTCCTACTTCCTCCTCAGTTCTCCCCCGTCCGATGTTCTCGCGGCCGCCCGATGGCGGATGCGTCAACGCCTTCCTGGTGACGGGACATCATGTTTGTCGTCGTCTTCTCCGCTTCTCGGGCATCGCCTCCTCCTCCTCCTCCTCCTCCTCTTCTTCCTCCTCCTCCTTCACCTCCTCCTCCCTGTTCTCCTCCTCCTTATCCTTATCCCTCCTCTCCGTCCTCCGTAATCCCTCCGCCAGTTTCCTTGTCCCCCATGATCCCTCTCTGTCATATTCCTTCCATCGGCTTCTGCTCCTCATGTATCCCTTTACTCCTCCTCCTCCTCCTCCTCCTCCTCCTCCGCCTCCTCTTCCTCCTCCTCCTCCTCCTCCTCCTTCTTTTCCTCCTCCTCGTTTTCAACAACTTCCACCTCCTCCTCCTCCTCCTCCTCCTCTTCCCGTTCCTCCTCTTCCGCCTCCTCCTCCTCCTCCTCCTCCTCCTCTTTCCCCCTCGTCGCCCATACCTCCGCGATGTTGGGAACACGGGCGGGTGCCGACCAGCTAACAAGCTGCAGCATGTATGTAAGATCAGCGCCAGCGGACTTATTCCTGGAAGCTGCAGTGGCCCCTGACCCAATGTGAGGTTTTCTCGAGGGGCCCAAGCAATGCCCTGGACGACAGCCCCTCTAATGCCACATATTGGTACCCGCGAAAGTCAGGGCTGGGTGGACCCCAGCAACCAGTTGCTGGCTGAATCATCTGCTTTTCCCTGGTTCTGAAATTCGGGATACGCAGGTCAACATGTCCTCCTCCTCCTCCTCCTCCTCCTCCTCCTCCTCCTCCTCCTCCTCCTCCTCCCGCGTCCCCTCCTTCCTCCTCCATGGTCCCATCCTCCTTGTCATCGTCGTCGTCCTCCTCCTTCTCCGTCATTTCCATCCCCTCCTGCTTCGATCCACCACCCGTTCAGGACTGACCCTACACCCTGCACCCTGCACCAACCAACCACGATACCGCACTGGGTACAGCTGTGGCCTTGAGGGATACCCGACTTGACAGGAACCGCGGCAATCGAGGGAGTGACCTCGGCAATGAGCAGTCGGTGCAGTATCGTGCTCCTTTGGCGCCCGCGCCCGCTCTTGCCGCGAACCACCGCGCGTTCTTTGAGAAGGGAGCGGCTGCGGCGCGGGCGTGGCTCCCGCGACCAATCGCAGACGCCTTCTATCCGAAGATGAGGTCGGATGAGGATGGCAAAAAGAAAGACGAGGGAGGTAAGATAATCAATACTGGCACCCGCGCGCGGGCCCCTTGATGCCCCTTCCTCCACCCGTTCCCTCCCTTCCCCCCCCTCCCCTCCCCTCCCGGACCCCGGCCGCTTTTCTCGCCCATGACTTCCCCTTCCTCCCTCCGCTCCCTCCCTACTTCCCATGCCCTCCGCTGCAACCCCCATCCCTGCCCTCGCGTTGTCCAGCCGAATGCTCCAACCGCGAAGCCCATCCTTCCCCGTGCACCGCTCCTCGCCCACGCCTCCGCTCCCGCACCGTCCCCAGACCAAGGCGAGGAGAAGCCTCAGGGGGCTCCGCAGCTGACCGCCCCCCCCCACGCGAGAACCAACCGGAGCCTCCATCCACATGTGCGAGAGGCCTCGGAAAAAGTACAGTGGGCGCACGGCCGCAAGCAACCGTCGCAAGAAAGCCAGCCCCAAAAACCCACAAAGTGTTTTGCCCAGGGCCAGGGTTTCTTGGCCAGGGGCTCGAAGCGGAGAAACCCAGGGCACCCTGGCCCGAGGAGTTTCTGCGCGGGTCGCGCCAGGAAGATGCGCGAGTATGCATTTCGCTGTTGGCCCTCCGAATCCACGCAGATGCAATACATTCAAAGTAACCTCGGCGCAGTGAGGCTTCTTCGGCGTCGAGGTTTTTTTGTTACATCAATTTCGCGATTGGCCCTCCGACTCCGCGCGGATGCAAGAAATTCGAGGTACCTTCGGCGCAGCGAGGTTTCTTCGGTGGCGGGGCGTTGCTTCCGCGAGGTGGAATTGGGAGGAAACCCGGGGTCTCCTGAGCGCGAAAGTTTCTTGACGCCCGCGGGAAACCATCGCGGGCCGCGCGGAGCGAAGAAACATAAGATACCCTGATGAAAAGCATCCGGTTTCTTAGTATGCGCCCCCACTGTAGTGAGCACGCATGCCACATTCATCGGCCAACGCCTCCCCCTCCCCCCCAATGTTCAGAGTTGGCGGTGGGTCTGATGAGTTCCACTTCGACCGCAGTCTCCCCCCACGCGTGCCAACTTTCAGTTTGGGGGCGCGGAGGAGTGTCCACTAACTGTTTCCCCCTGCCAGAGCACACGTGGCAGCTCGCCGCTTGGGTCCACCGTCAGCCCCAAACGGCGAGCACAAACCGAGCGTGGCCCCGACCAGCAGTGAGAGCCCACCGCTCTGGGCTGCAGGCGGCGCAACAGGTTGCGCCCTGGGTTGGCCATCCATGCGTTGCAACTTGGGCTGCGCCATGGGTTGCAGCATGGGATGCGCCAGGAAAGCGTTGCGCCAACCATGGCCTTCCGCCAGCTGTTGCGCAATCGGTTGCACCGTATGGGTTGCACCATGCACAAGTTGTGACGTGGGCTGCGCAACAAGATGCTCCGTGTCATGTTGCGCAAGCGTTGGGTTGCGCCATCCATGGGAGCGCAATTGGTTCCCCACCAGGAGGGCGATCCATGGGGTTGCGCGTGGTATTGCGCATGCAATGGTCTGCGCCGTGGGTGGTATCCAGATGTCTCGCCGTGGGTTGCACCGTCCAAGTATTGCGCCACACGTGGCACCCGCGGCTGCCACACATGAAACATGTAATGCTATCGGTTGCGCCGCAGGCCGCCCTCGGAGGCTGGGCCTGATGCGGTGTTCTGTTGGCTGCGCCACACGTGCGCCTTCGGCGGCCGACAATAAAAACAGGCCCGCCCTCGCTTGTGCCACGGGCAGGCGGCTTCAGCCAGGACGCAGCAGCGGCCTGCGCACGGTGGCGCCAAGCGCTGCTCCCACGGCCGCCGAGAACATTAACCCTGCGAGGGGCCCGACCCCCGTAGCAGGGGCATATAACGTTGGTGGTGAACCTCTTCATGGTCGGCCCGCGTGGGGGATGTGCCGAAGGGGGTTGGGGAACACACTGCAACTGTTCAACTTGGGCCGTATGTGAAGCTCCCCGTGGGGGGCGCGAAACGTGTCAGGGATACGCCGAAATGCGCAGGGACACCCTGCGTTGTCTCCCACTGGAGCCATACGCGGGGCTCGCGTGAGGGTTACGCCGGAACGGGCGGAGGTACGCGTGCAAACTTTCCCACTGAGGCCGTGCGTGGAGCTCACTATGGGGGTGTGCCCCTAGTGCCTAATGACAGGTTTGCCGAAGCGGGCTGCGCCACCGTGCGGACCCTCCCAGCGGGGCAGCACGTGGGGCTCCATATGTGGCCGCGGTCCTCGTGATGGGTGGGCTGAAGTGGACGGCGCCGCCATGCTGGTTCTCCGGGTGGGACCGTGCATGGTGTTCCCGACCTAATGGGTACGGCTCGTTGGGCGTGCTGAAGTAAAATTTGCTGAAGGACGCTATGGGGTACAACCCCCTGGGGGCTTCGGTGGAGCTCTCCATGGAACCACCACGCGTGTGAATGGCTTGTCGACATGGCTAGAGTACGCTATGCGGTACCACCCCGCCGGGGCTTCGGTGGAACTCCCTATGAGGCCACGAGGCGTTTGAGGGGTGTGCCGCAATTGTCTGGGGGACGCTCCGCGGTACCACCCCATGGGGCTTCGGGGGGCTTACTATGGGGCCAAGCTGCTTGCGAGGAGTGGGCCAAAACAGAGGCATGCAGAGGGGGGCTGGGGCAGGAGGGGGGAGGTGGGATGCTGGGGCGCGGCGCTGCTGATTCAAAACGAGGACCCACACCACAATATGGTTTTGGAGGGAAAGCCTGCGCGAATGGATGTGGTCAAACTGGCAGCTCACGAGGCAAATCTGCAACGTACATCCAGAGATCTGTTTCTTCTGCTCCTCCTCCTCCCTCCTCTACCCTTCCCCGTGCCCCCTGCCCATCCCCTCACCCCGGGAGAGCCCAGAATCGAATCGATAAGTCGGATCGGCGATCGAAATGAAACAGATCGGCGGAAATCGGCAGGCAAGTGGGGAAACATCGAATCAACAGAACTCGGCAGGCTATTATGCGTCCAGTAAGGAATCGGAGCCCAGATCGGAGTCCAACATCGAATGGAATCGGCATTGGAAACCATCGACATCGAATCGAACCGAACCGGAGGAATCGAAGCGAGCCCATCCCCCCACCCCTACCCCTGACAGCTGCCCCCCTCGGTTTAGCCCCCGATCCACGCCGTACCCCGCGGGAGCGGCGCGCTGGCCCCCACCCGCCCCCCGCCCTCGCCAGGCCCAGCGCTGCCGCGCGGGGGGGGGGATGCCGCCTCGATGGCGTCGACGTGCAGGAACACCAGATTCGAGCGGAAGGGCACCCTCCAGACCCCGGGAGGGATGACCATGATGGGCAGGACGCAGCGGTCAGGATCACGACGACGACGCTAACGCTATTGCTAACGATCATGCTAGTGACGATGATGATGATGACGATGAGGAGAATGATAATGATGGTGATGATGATGATGATGATGATGATGATGATGATAATGATGATGATGATGATGATGATGATGATGATGATGATGATGATGATGATGATGATGATGATAAGGAGGAGGAGGAGGAGGAGGAGGAGGAGGAGGAGGAGGAGGAGGAGGCTGCTGATGATGCTGATGATGCTGAGGAGGAGGAGGAGGAGGAGGAGGAGGAGGAGAAGGAGGAGGAGGAGGAGGAGGAGGAGGAGCGCCAGTACCTTCCGCAGAGTTCGTCAACGACTCAGCCTCGACGCCTCGGCGAAGCCAAATGTATGGCCTAGCCGCGTTAAACGGGGGGGTAATATCAAGTAATTGTTTGGCATTTTGGCTAATGCCGCTTTGAGGGCATCTAACTGCTGCGGTAGAGGTAAAGGGCGCCCGTCTTGATGCGAGGCGATACCCTTAGCAACGTGATAATTCGGAGGTTGGGGGGTAAGATCGCAGTGAAACGGAGACCCCCCACCGGGAAAACGGTTTCGGTTTCGTGTTCGTGTCGTGCGTGCGGGCGAGGCGAAGCTGCGCGTGATCCTCCTATAACTAGGCCGAAGTAGGAGCGAAAATCCGTTCCCGTCCGCCGGTGACTGGGAGGTGTCCCAGTTGGGCTGGGCGGTGTCCCGGGTGTCCTGGGTGACCCGGGCGTCCCGGCGCTAACGCACGTCGCTAATATCATAATTCATTTGTTTCGGCGCCTGCGGCGGGCGTTCTTATCCAATCCAGCTTATCTTATCCAATCCATCTGGTCCAATCCAATCCATCTTACCTTATCCAACCCATCTTGTCCCATCTTATCTTATCCCACCCAATCCAATACACCCAACCCAATCCATCAATTAATTTGTTTCTGCGCCTGCTGTGGGCCAATCCAATGCATATTATCTTATCCTATCCATGTCTTCCAATCCAACCCACCTTATCTTATCCAATCCATCTTATCCCATCCAATCCAAGCCACCCAACCCAATCCATCAATCAATTTTTGTCGGCGCCTGCGGCGGGCTTTCTTATCGAATGTCATCGTCATCGCGATCATCATCGTGGTGGAGGGAGACTCTGATAGAGAGGGAGAGAGAGAGAGGGCGAGAGAGAGAGAGAGACACAGAGAGAGAAAGAGACAGAGAGAACGAGAGAGATGACATCAAGGTGACAGGCTGGAGGTCAGTCAGGGTGGGCATTTGATCTCTATCCCCCCCTACCTCCTTATCGCCCGCAAGGCGGTCGTATAGGGTATAGAAACTGAGAGCTGATTTTCCCGGGTGAGGTCAAACGCGGGATATTGCACAGGGAGCCCAAGCCCTAGACGGAGGAGGGGGCACGGCGAGACGACAGCTCGAGGACGACAAACAAGGCAGGTGAGACGGAGGCACTTACATAGTGCGCTATGGAATCGGTGTGGGAACACCCGAAAACACAGTTCCATAAAGTGTCTGTAATGTGCATTCGGTCCGTGGTGGTCCATCCCCCCGAAATCGTCTTGAGGTACGGCCAGCGAGCGCTCGGAGGGGCCCGACAGAGGATTTCCCGCACCAGGTCCCATCTCGCTCCCATGTTCCGGGGAGTAGGACAATCAAACCAAGACCGCAGGCGACGCCAAATTGGGAGCTCAAGCTTATCGGGATAGGCGAAACTCGCAAGGGTACGCGTATAGAGTCCTTGCAACTTGGGCCGACGACCCTCCAGGGCGGCCTCGCGCATGACGCTTCGCGCCCAGCGCTGGGCGAGTCGAAGCCACTCAGAGGAGAGAGGGGGGTGCGACATCAAGCATCGACACGGCGGAGCGAAGCTGCTCATAGTATTGAGCAATCGCTTGCCGACGCTGCCAACATCGGGAGCGGCTACGAGGGGGGTGTCCAAGAGGGGGGGGTGCAAATCATGACCGGCGGCATGTGCGCGGCCCAGCGGGGGGGCCAGGGACGTAATAAAACAAGAAGAGGCGCCACAAAATCTGTGGAAATATCATGGCCCGCGCCATGATATCCACCCCCCCCTAGTCATCACCCCCCTCTTTTCCGCCCCCGACAACATGGGACACACCAGCTACCCTGGACGAGGTCGTCTACTCCGTGGCCCCCGGCAGCACTTGAGGCCCCAGCGGCGTCCCTGAGACGGCGGTGAAGGGGGCCCCAAAAGGAGTCGAGCGTGAGTGAAGCACAGCGCCAGGCACAAGCCAGGGCAGTGGACAAGAGCGAGACGGGGACGGGGGAGGGGGACCACGTGCCGAGAGAGAGAGAGAGAGAAAGAGAGGAAGTCAGAGAGGGCAAAGGAGTTGTGCGGAAGGTGCAAGGCCTCATGGAGGCCCCACAGCCCTTTCTTCCTCATGGCGTTGCTGATGGGGTACAACTGGGCGACGTAGGACGTGCAGGACAGGACCGACGAGCTGTACAGTCTGGCAGATGCGTCGGCGGAAGAGGCAAGAGCACCGAGCTCGATGCAACTGCTGCACCGCGTCTGGAACGGGACAGCCCGTTCTTTGTCGAGGGTCGCACCCGGGCCCTGGAGGGTTCCGAGATAATTAGCTTTCGGGGCGACCAGAAATTGAGACCAGCAGGGTGCCCACCGGGAGAGCCCTGCCTGGACCACAGATTTGACCTCATCCGTAAGGTCGTCCGCACAGGCTCCGAGAGAACCACGCTGACGAGTGGGGAGCTCACGGGAGAGGAGACGAAGGAAGGGGTCAAGCCCAAGTGCCCACAAAGTGTCACTGAGAGGGCACCCCTGGGCCACGCCCGAGAGGATTGAGATCTCACTCGCACGCTTGCCTCCCACTTTGACATAGCCTACCATGTGGGAGTATAGACCAGCTCTATGGCATGCCTGCAACCGAGAGGGATTTTGAACCGCTTCAGAGCTTTGCACAGATATGTTCTGTTCAGGCTCGCGAAAGCCGAAGAGAAGTCGAAACTGATGAAAACTGGATGGTTCTCCGCGGCCTCCGGGTCCATCGAAACAATCCTGCATTCCGTGTCCATGAGAAGGATGTGTTTGATGAGCGTCCTACCCGAGATGAAGCCTTGCTGAACTTCATCGGTGGCCGACTCGGCCACACGCTTGAGATTCCAATTGATGGCCGAGGCGATGGCCTTCGAGTCCTGGCTCTTACGGCTCAACGGCCTGGTCTGCTGCGGCCGGCGAACGCAGTCCACCGTGTCGCTGCGGCCCTCCTCGGGCGAGCCCTTCGGGAAGAAGGCGAAATCGCTGGCATTCGAGCCAGGCGCCATGATCGTGCCCTCGAACAGCTTCGGCATCACCGGGTAGACGTGATCCATTGCACGGGGGCATGAAAGCCACGCCTCCACAGGCAACCCGTTAGGCCCTGGAGCAGACCGCCTCGCCCGGCGAAATGCGGCGCGTGTCTGCTCCAAGCTGGGGATCGCGAGGTCCACGGACGGCATGTCGGGCATCGCGCGGTCGAGAAACTCCTTGATGGTAGATGCATCGGCCTCTGTGCCCAGGAAGACGGGGGCCCAGTGCTTCAGGAGGGCGTCGGCGATGTCGCCGGGTTGCCGGGCAACGGGGCCGTCGGGGCCTCCAGAGTGGATCTGCAGGCCGTTCAAGATGAGGCTCTTGCAGGAGGGGGTCCACAAGGCTGCGCGCCTGCGTGCCATCGCCTCCTGGCGCTGTAGCTCGTCAGTCTGCTCGGGGCGCTCGATCTGCTTGACCTCCATGCGGCCTGCTGGACCTGGCGCTCATGCCAGCGACGATTGAGGTCATGATAGTTGTGCTCGAAGCTGGTCGCGTCGACGAGGCGGACGGTGGCGGGTGATGGAGGGGCAGAAGATGCGGCGTTGCTTTCTTGCTCCGACGCCATCGCCGCTGTACCTCCTGCGGACAGCCCGCAGCAATGGCAGGATCTCGTAGTACCTGGAAGAGTTTAACTTGTACACAGAATGGACCCAACTACGGGCAAAGCCTTGCGCATCATGAACGTCCACAACTTCGACCTCTCCCAGCAGCAGCTCGCGCGGGCCGCGGGAGCGTGGCACTCTGCCGCATGCTAGGCGGCCGAGCTGGTCGAGGCTCGCACCTTCGTCGCCATTGGGGACTTCAACTTGAATGCCGCCGCCACCTCCTCCTACGTTCGCCCCGAGGCTGGACAGGCCACCCGCACGGCTACACGTCACAGACAACACCCTCGACAGTGGCAGGACATGCTCGACGACCAGATGGTCGAGATCACGAGCGAGATGCCAACTCGCTACTCGAGGGTCACTGAGACGGCTACGTGCATCGACCGGGCTTTCGTCTCCTTGCCCGCCCAGTACCTCGAGCAGCTGATCTGCGACTTCGAACCTCCCCGAGAGGCCGTGCACTATGCCGATTGGCGCCTGAGTGATCATGCAGCCGTGGTCTTGCGCATACGGCTGCGGATAGCCGTCGGGCGCGACGAGCAGAGCATCCCCAAGCACATCTTCAAGGCCCCGATGTACGCCGCGACGCTGGACACCTTGATGGACGCCCTGGACCTAGTCACCCTTCCTCCCGACCAGCGGCTCTCCGAGACGAAACGCATGATGAAGGAGGCAGCTCGGCTCACCCGGAATGCGCTCTCCAAGCTCCCCCCCTGGGCACGGAGAAGGGCTCCCCCGAGGCGCTCGAGTCGCGGAGGCTCACCATGCGGAGCATTGCGCGAGCGGTGTGACGGCAGGACCGCTGGACCGCCCTGAACTTGATCCGCAATACGGAACTGGGACAACGCCACCTCGAGGTGGTCGAACATGGCGCCAGGAGAAACCCCGCCCTAAGGCCCCTTAGGGCGGGGTTTCTTCAACCGCATCTTCTGCCCCTCCATCAGGAGGAGGAGGCCGGGGACGCTTACCATGGTCATGGCAACCATTCTGAGAACGCTGACGGTGGCAGGAGGCGTGTGGACTGAGACCGGCAGCGCCTCGCGAGAGCACAGAGCGCACACGTCGCTGAAGTCCCCTCGAGCGCGGGAGGGCGGGCCTGGGAGCTGAAGCGCGCCCTTCTCCTCCCCCCAGCAAACACCTCACCAGAGTTGTTACTGTGCCGAGGACGCTTGCAGTGACCATAGCGGACATGTTGGACACGCGGGTGGTGGCAGGAAGCGTCTGCTGTGAGACCGAGTGCCTCGCGAGAACACCGAGCACAGACGTAAGCCTGGTCCAACTGCACCACGGCCGTAGGCCGCAAAGCTTTAGCATCCGAGACCAAGCCCCACCTTCAATGGTACCATCTGTGATCTCAGCGACTTGGCCGGCAGCCCTGACAGGAAAACGAGGGCCAGGCCTTGTATCTGCACGCTATACGCCCTCAGTCGTTCGGCCATCGAAATTTAAGATGGGGCCGACCCGAGAAAGAACACAGCATGGGGTTGGGGCCGCACCAGGCCCCGATCCTCTGAATCTGTGGGCAGACCAACTGAACACACGCGCGTGGCCCAACGAGCTGTGGACCCACACTGGCAGGGGTCCGACTCTACCTCCTCAGCAGCAGAGCGCCGGAGAAGAGGCTGCCGCCGGGAAAGAGCCCGGGCGAGGCCGGACCCGAGGTGACCGAAACGAACCCACGGACCTCACGTTTTAGACACGCACGCAGTACCCTGATGGCAGCTCTCACTTCAGGTCGGGCGTGTCCTCCTACAGGCGGCTTTTGGACCACGAACTGAACAGAGTCGAACAAGTACTCAAACACAGTTGTCGTTTGGGTATCCTCATTTGTTTGGGCCCGTTGAAGGCGCTGCTCGACTGAGAGCCGCTCCCGCCGAGCGAGACGGACTCCTACATCGAGGCTGTCATCCTGTCGCTCAAACAGTTTGTGGATGCTCAACACACAGTCGAACAGATGATCCGAACATCGCCTCCGGACTATGTTCTGATTTTGTTTAAGAAATTTGTTGGACAACGAATGAAACAGGGTCGAACAGGTACTCAACACACAGTCAAGCAGAGGATCGGAACATCGCCTCCAGACTAAATGTTCTGACTGTTTTTGACTTTGCTTTCTGTAGAAGGACAGGCCCGACTTGAGCTTCGGGGCCGGCGTGGGCACGACGGGCTCGGAGGAGGGCGCGGCCGAGGCCCAGACCCCCCCCCTTGTTCGGTGGCAGCTCATGGGGGCCTCCTCCGCCCTCCTCCTCCTCCTCCTCCCTTTCCTCCTCCTCCTCCCTTTCCTCCTCCTCCTCCCTTTCCTCCTCTTCCTCTTCCTCCTCCTCCGAGGAGGAGGAGGGTGAGGAAGAGGGAAGGAGGAGGAGGAGGAGGAGGAGGAGGCCCAGAGAAATGGACGGCCCAGCCGCACCGATACGCCGGTCTCGGAGCGCCCCGAGAGGGGGGGGGCGGCGTCGGCACGGGCAGGAGGCCGCCCCGGGCTCGATCCAGGAGCCCCATCGGCAACGAGATCCGGCAAGCACTGCTGAAGGGGCCCAAGGACACACAAATAAAGACACACAAATAAAAATATCCCCCATAGTTTCCCATATGCTCTGTGTTTTTGTCTCCCCCCCCACTTCCCATATTTTCCCATATTTTCCGGGAATCGACGATTAATTGTGTCTGTGTGTTTCTTTCCCTCCTGAACTACGTGGGGCCCGTCCCTCTACAGGCGGAAAATTCAGAAACAGCTGTTTGAAAAATTGCCCGGTGACGATTTCTCGAGCACTGTTTTGCTATGCTTGACTGCGTTTTTTGACTGTTGTTCCACTTTCGCCCACAGTCCGCCTGTAGGGGGACATGCCCGACCTAAAGCAAGCACAGGCCGCCGAGGAAACGACCCAACCGCCTCGCGAAGCCTCCCACGGTTCAGGTGCCCACCCAGGAGCCCTGGACTCAGGGCCGAGTGATCTTGCACTTCGGAATCGGAATCGGAATCGTCCCGCGTCTTGCCCCGCGGGGGGTGCTGCAGGGTCGGGCCGAAACGCCCGGAAAATATAGGCGTGTGAAACAAGAAGAACAAAGCAAGAATAAAGAAGCCGGCCGGCCGCTCACGTTAACCCAGAATTGGAGTGGAGGGAGCAGGAGTCGGACATTGAGGCCGGAGTCACATGTTGCGAGCGGGAGTGGGAAAGTATAGACACTACATTGAGTATTCTGCGAACTTGTCCTCGAGAATGTGCAATGATTCTCTGGTGGCCATCTTGAGGAGGATGTGCAGCACGTCGTGTTGGGTTGTCGCTTCCCGTAGCAGCGCCTGGTCTGATTTGCCCTATTAATGAAATGGAAGATATCATCCAGCCATCTCCTTTTCGGTCTGTGGCTGCGCCTCCTGGCGTTAAGCTGTGGGTGCTCGGAACCTTCAGCCGGACTCGCCCGCTGGAACATTCGGCCGGACTCGCCGAGTGCTCGCGGGCGCATGGCAGACCCTGCCAGCGCGTCCCCCGGGGCGAAGCAGAGCCCACCCTGCTTATGGTGGACTGTGGGCCGAGTCAAGGGGGGTGCTTACCAGTGAGCCTCTTGACGACTTCTGGACTGATCACTCTCTTCGGGGCACGGTCGCAGGCGTGTGGTGTGAGGTCCCCATGGGCACTTGGCCCCGATGCTCCGCCCCCACCCCCGTTGCGCCCCCGGTTGCGCGGCCCCGTCAGGAGGGGACCCGCACGTCCACGCACCCATGGGGTGTTAACGGACTGCGGAGCCGATGTGCGGCCCGACTTCGGGATGACGGTGCAAAAACTAGCCTCGACCATCCGTCTTCTGTGTGCATGCCTACACCAACAGGTTCCGTGCTACATGGGCCAGGGCACAGCCCCCCCTCTCCTCGGCCCTCTCCCCGCAGGCTCTTTCCCGGCTGCGCAGGCCGACGACGAGGACCGGCGTGGAAGTCCACGTGAGGGGCCTCATTGCTAACATCCCATGTCTCATAGGGGACGGGACACGTCCCAGAGCTCTCCGATGTCCCATGGCGTGACAAGATGTTTCAGGGCTTCTCTCGTGTAATTGGGCAGCGTGAACGGGGACAGAGATGGGCCCTCCGAGCTTCCACACACTCTGCGTTTATTCATCTGCGCCCCCCCATTGGACAAGCCCCCTTGCTGGTGTCGGTATCGGACGCTCGTACTGCTCTCCTTTTAAATCCTTCTCTATATGCCTTTTCTAAGATAGGCTGCGAACACATTAGCCTTTAGGTCAGAGTCTGAGTCTGAGTCTGAGAAGGAAGAGGATGAGGAGGAGGAGAAGGAGGAGGAGGAGGAGACAAAGGAGGATAATGGAGAGGCGGAGGCAGGCCGAGAGGTCGCCAGCACAATCGAGCCCCGACCGACGGGTCAGCCTCCTCCTCCTCCTCCTCCTCCTCCTCCTCCTCCTCCTCCCCCTCCTCTTCCTCCACCGCCCCCCCTCCTCTGCCTTCTCCCTCCTCATCCATCCAGACCACCTCCTCCTTCCTCCTCATTCCTTCTTCCTCATCCTCCTTCTTCTCCTGATCTCCACTTCGTCTTCGGCCGTTTCATGCGTATCCGCGGGGTGCATGTATTTAGCTCGTCCTACTCCTACTCCCTCCCATCACCATCCGTCCTCCGTCTCCGACACCTTCTTCTCCTCCTTCTTCTGCTTCTTCTCCTCCTCCTCCTCCTCCTCCTCCTCCTCCTCCTCCTCCTCCTCTCCCCCTCCCCCTTCCCTCTCCTCCACCACCCTCGGTCTCCCCAATTTCCCCTTCCTCTTGTTGTGTCACCTTTCGGATCCACTTCTATCCAGACCGCTTCCCGAACTGAACCCGCAGAGCCATCCAGCAGAGTTCCCATTTTGACCCCCCCACCCCGTCACCCTCATCGAAATATTTCGCGCGCCCACACCTTATCGTCATCTTCCAACTCCTCCTGCGTCTGCTCCTTTCTGTTGACCGTACTGTGTTTCACATATTTTACTCTGTATATACATATACATATACATCCTTATCCAAGGCCTCCTCGACCTCGACCTCGTCATCCTTCTCCATCCCCCTCCACTCGTCCTCTCCGGAGCCCGCTGCGCCCACCCGTCGGGCAGTGGTCGCTCGCCGTCGGTCACTGCATTCTTCAGCTCGCCCCTGTAGAAGCGCCTCGCACCGGTGAGATGGAAGACGTCTACTGCTCACCTGCATGTCTCTCTCTCTCTCTCTCTGTTGCACTTGCTTGATGTACAGTATTCATGTGTCGTTTCTGTCTCTCTATCCCTCTTTCCCTTTCCCTGTCCGTCTCCCTCTCTCTTTCTCTTTCTCGATGCATATATATACATATATAGAGATGGATATGTGTACACAGATGTACAATGTACAAAAGTAGATGAACGACTACATCGGCGATTCGTGCTGTACGGGGTGGTCCTTCTAGCTTCGCATGAGAGTGGGATGGGAGAGATGGAGGGAGAGACATACATATATATATATATATATATATACATATACTCATACACATATATATACACATATAAGATATGTATTTACAGATACCGATGTAAAACGGTAAAATAATGAAGGAAAGAGAGAGAGAGAGAGAGAGCCGTGTAAAGAATTCACATATAGTGGCGGATCCGTTGACGGTAGCGTCGTCATTCTATACTATTCCTTTCCTCCAGCTTCCTCGTGTGTGTCCTCGTTGGTGTCCTTCCCTGCGAACTCTTCCCTGTCCTCCTTGCTTGGTTTTGCGGAGGCTGCTCCTTGAAAGGCTTCCAGGGTACTTCACGGCCGCATCTTGGGGCCTTCTTCGGAGCTGTTGGAAGGAGAGGCTTCTTTGGGCTACCTTGCTGCCAACAGCAATCTCCATCAACGACGAGGTCACGATTTGGAGTGTTTTGGGAAGCGTATTGGGGCCATCTTGGGACGGTACAGGGGGTTTGGCGCCATGTGGGGCCATCTTCGGCCCTCTCGGACTTTCTGGAAGCCCGTTTTGCCTGTTTCAGGGGCGATGCTCGGTGCCTTTTGGGCGTTCTCGGGGAACGGAGCATTCCGAAATCACCCGCCACCGTGCCTCTGGGCACGGAGTGGGCGTGTCCTCAGGTCCTTTCTCTACCCCATCTAAGCCTCAGTCGTCACTCCTGAAGAGTTCTGCAAGGGTTCTGAACCCCTCGGCCAAAATCTCTTGGGGCGCATCACTGTTCCGGGACCAACAGGGCACCGAGACGGGCCAAAATGGCCCCGAATCGCCGAACGATGGCTCCAAGATGCTCATGGTGGCCTCCAGAAGGCCAAAGAGGCCTCCAAGATACCCAAAGAGGGCTCCAAGAGCCTCCCGCGAGGGCCCCAAGAAGCCAGAATCATTGATTTCTTTAAGTTTTTGACAGATGTCGGCGTTCTCGCCTTTTCGGCTTCACGACGCTCCCAGGCGGCCCTAGAGGCCCCCAAGGTTGGCCCAAGACTGGGGCCCAAACACGGCCCAAGAGGCCTCCAAGACGTCCAAGATGGCCTCCAAGACGGCCCCGAGGCGGCCCGAGACGTCCCAAGAGCCCCCAAAGATCGCCGAAAGATCGCCCAAGAGGCCTCCAATGCCTCCAAGATGGCCAAGATAGCCTCCAAGACGGCCTGAGAGGGTCCAAGATACTTCCAGATACTCCCAAGAAGCCTCCAAGACGGCCCAAGACTGCCCACGAGGTGTCCACGAGGCTTCCCAGACGGCCCAAGAGGCCTCCGAAAGGTCCTCCAGAAGGGCCTTAAGATCACTGATTGTCCTGAGGGTTTGGAGCGATTTTCGTATTTGCTCTTTGTCGGCCTTCCGACGACCCAAGACAACCCAAGAGGCCCCCAAGATCGCCTCCAGAGAGCCCAAGAGGCCTCCAAGATGGCCTCAGAACTGCCCAAGAGGCCCCCAAGACGACCCCAAGAGGGCACAACGACTACCCAAGAGGCCTCTAAGACGCCGAAGGAAGCCTCCAAGACTGCCCTGGAGCACCCCAAGAGAGCCCTCAGTCGGCCCAGAGAGGCCCCAAAGACGGCTTCCGACGGCGTCAGACGGGCCCGGAGCCCACCAAGATGGCCCAAGATGGCTCCAAAATTGCCTAAGCGGCCTCCAAGAGAACCCCCAAGAAGGCCCGACGAGGCCAAAATCATTGATTTTCCTCTGTGTGCGTTTTTTCATTAAAACAATGATTTGGGCATTTGCTTCTTTCGGCATTTCGCCGACCCGAGACGGCCCAAGAGGCCCCCAAAGATCGCCCAAGAGGCCTCCAAGATGGCCACAGAACGCCCAAGACAGTTTCCAAGGCGGCCCTAGAGCGTTCCAAGAGGGCCCCAAGTCGGCCTAGAGAGGCCCCCAAGACGGCTTCTGACGGCGTCAGACGGGCCAGGAGCCCACCAAAACGGCCGAAGACGGCCTTAAGATGGCCCAAGACGGCCAAAGAGGTCTCCAAGCGAACCCCCAGGAAGGCCCGAAGAGGCCTACATCATGGATTTACCTTAGGCTTTTGAAGAATGTTGGTTTCTTTTCGGCCTTCCGACGGCCCGAGACGGCCCCAGAGCCCCCAAAGATCGCCCCAAGATCGCCCATCCAGGATGGCCAGAGGCCTCCAAGACGCCCAAGATGGCCTCCAAGACGGCCCTGGAGCACCCCAAGTCGGCCCAGAGGGGCCCCCAAGACGGTTCCCGACAGCGTCAGACGGGCTAGGAGCCCACCAAGATGGCCAAAGAGGCCCCCGAGAAGCCCCCGAAGGCCTCCAAGATGCCTCCAAGAGGGCCCCAAAGATGCCTCCAAGAGGCTCCCAGGAAACTACCAGGAGGCTCCAAGAGTGTCCCGAGAGGCTCCCAAGATATCCCTTGCTCCTCCTCCTTCTCCTCTTGGTCCTCATCCTTCTCCTCCACCTCCTCCTCCTCCTCCTCCGCCTCCTCCTGATCTTCCCCGCCATCCTCCCCCACGTGTTCCCCGAAGGGTTTCCACAACGGCTGGGGGACACATGATCCGATAGCTTGGAAGAGCTCGTGCCACAACGCTCGGCCACATGGGCGATTCTAGAAGGCAGGGGGCGGCGGTGACTCGCCGTGGGCGTCTTCGATCCGCCGCACCCTGTTGATTCATCACAGGGGTGCCGGGCGTGCTAGACCCTTTCGCTTTTTGGTTTTGGTTCCTTTCCAAAAGAACTCCCCCTGGGGTTTCGCCCCGTCCCGCCGGAGATGCGTGACAAGTGGTTGCAAAGGGTTTTTCGGCTCTCGACGGCTCCAGGATGGCCTCCAAGATGGTCAAGATGGCCCAAGATGGCATCCAAGTTCGTCTAAGATGGTCCAAGATGGTCTCAGAGACGGCCCAAGAGAGTCCAAGATGCCTCCAAGCTCGCACAAGAAACACCTGAGACGGCCCAAGACGGCGCAAGAGGCCTCTAAGAGGCCTCCAAGACGGCCCAGAGGCCTCGAAGAGTTCCTCCAGTACGTCCCGAAGAGGTCAACATGTTCTTTGTCCTTCGGTTTTTGAAGGAGTTTGGCTGTTGCTCCGTTTCGGCCTTCCGACGGCTCAAGACGGTCCAAGAGCTCATCAAGATCGCCCCAAGAGTGCCCAAGAAGCCTCCAAAATGGCCCCAGGACAATCCAAGAGGCCCCCAAGATGGCCCAAAGACGGCCCAAGAGGCATCGAAAACGCCCAAGATGGCCTCCAAGACGGCGAAGATGGCCCCAAGAGAGCCCAAGAAGGCCCCCAAATGTCTCCAAGACGGCCCAAGATGCACCCGAGACTGCCCAAGATGGCCTCAAAATGGCGCAAGACCTCCCAACGCGCCCCAAGAGGCCGCTAAAACAGTCCAAGAGAGCCCGAAGAGGCCCCCAAAGAGAGCCCCAAGAGGCGAACATCATTGATGTTCATTGCTTTCCCTTGAGTTTTACAAGATTTTGGGGGTTGCTCCTTTTCTGTCTTCCGACAGCTCAAGGCGGCCCAAGAGGCCAGCAAGATCGCCCCAAGAGCGCCCAAGAAGCCTCCAAGACTGCTTCAGGACGCCCCAAGATGCCCCCAAGATGGCCCAAAGAGGGCGCAAAGACGGCCCAAGAGGCCTCGAAGACGCCCAAGATGGCCTCCAAGACTGCCAAAATGGCCCCACGAGAGCCCAAGAAGGCCCCTACATGATTCCAAGACGGCCCATGATGCACCCAAGACTGCCCAAGATGGTCCAAGATGGCCCAAGACCGCCCAACACCTCCCAACAGGCCGCCAAAACGGTCCAAGAGAGCCGAAAAAGGCTCCCAAAGAGTGCCCCAAGAGGCCAAAATCATTGGTTTGCTACAGGTGTTTGAAGGATTTGGGGGGGTGCTCGTTTTCAGCCTTCTGACGGCCCAAGACGGCCCAAGAGGCCATCAAGATTGCCCCGAGAGCGCCCAAGAAGCCTCCAAGACTGCCCCAGGATGGCCCAAGAGAGGTCTCCAGGAAGACGGCCCCGAGGCATCCAAGACGGCCAAGATGGGCCCCAAGAGGCTCGAAGTTGTCCCAGAGAGGCCCCACACATGTCTTCCGACGGTGTCGGGCAGGCCAGGAACGCCCGAAGACTGCCAAAGGGACCATCAAGAAGCCCCCAAAGACTCCCAAGAAGCCCAAATAGACCCTCAAGAGGACCCCAAGAGGCCAGCAGTCCGCCGCCCCCTGTTGATTTATCACAGGGGTGCCTGGCGTGCTGGATTCTTACGACTTGGTGTTGGCTCTTTTCCAAAAAAGCTACCCCTGGGGCTTCGGTCCGTCCCACTGGCCCCACGGAAAGCTGCACAAGGATAGGGATTCCCGGAAAAGTTCCTTCAAGACGGCTCAAGATGGCTTTCAAGACCGCCAAGATGATGGTCCAAGATGGTCCCCAAGATGCCTCCGAGGCAGCCTCCAAGACGGCTAAGATGGCCCCAAGATGCCTCCGAGACATCCTCAGATGCACCCAAGTCGGCCTCATGTAGCCTCAAAATGGCTCAAGCGGCTCCCAAGAGGCCTCCAAGACGGCCCACGAGGCTTCCAAGAGGTCCTCCAGGAAGGCCCGGAGAGGCCCAAAAACTTAGATGATCCTTCGGCGTTTGAGGGATTTTGGCATCTGCTTCTTTTCGGCCTTCCGACGGCCCGAGACGGCCCAGGCGCCCCCAAAAATCGTCCCAAGATCGCCCAAGAGGCATCCAAG